TCTGTAGCAGCACCAGGGCGTGCTTATGTCTCAGGTACTTTATTTTTCCTTGTTGCATTCTTCATATTCCAGAAAAAAGTATTGGGACACCTGGCCATTACAGCCGCAGGAACTTTTATGACACCCCATTCTAAATCCATAGGCTTCCATAGGGAGCTGGTGCTCCCTAGGCAGCAATAACAGCTGCCACTCTTCTGGAAAGGCTTTCCCCAAGATTCTTGAGCATGTCTGTGGGAATTTTTGCCCATTAATCCAGAAGAGCCTTTGTGAGGTCAAGCGCTGATGTTGGATGTGAAGATCTGGCTTGCAGTCTCCATTTTAGATGGAGTTGAGGTCAGGGCCCTGTGTGGGCCAATCAAGTTCTTACTTTGAATTAAACCCCCAACTCCTTGTGTCCTGCCTCTGCTTCCTCAGTCCGTGCCCCGTGCAAACCGTGACACCCAACCATGTCTTTATGGACCTTGCTTTGTGAACTAGGCCACAGTCATGCTGGAACAGAAAAGGGCCTTCCTTAAAGTGTCCCCGCAAAATCGGAAGCATAGAATTGTCCAAAATGTCTTGGTATGCTGAAGCATTAAAGAGTTCCCTTCACTGGAACTAACGGGACTTGCCCAACCTCTAAAAAACAACCCCATACCATTATCCCTCCAGCACCATGGATTCCACCGTTGGCAGTGCAGTCAGGACTCATCCATCAGACTGCCAGACAGAGAAGCGTAATTCGTCACACCACAGAAAACGTTTCAACTGCTCTAGAGTTCAGTGGCAGTGTGCTTTACACCACTCCATCTGACGCTTGGTATCGTGCTAGGTGATGTGAAGCTTGCATGCAGCTGCTCAGCCAAGGAAGCCCATTCCATGAAGCTCCTGCCACACAGTTTTTGTGCTGGAATTAATGCCAGAGGAAGTTTGGAGCTCAACAGAGTGTTCGTGACTTTTACGCACTATGCACCTCAGCACTCAGTGACCCCGCTCTGATACTTTATGTGGTCTGACACTTCTTACCTGAGTTTCTTTTGTTTCTAAATGCTTCCACTTTGCAATAATAACACTTTGGAATATTTAGCAGGAAAGAAATTTCACAAACTGACTTATTGCAGAGGTGTCATCCTATGACAGTGCCACGCTTGAATTCACTGAGCTCTTAAGAATGACCCATTGTTTCACAAATGTTTGTAAACCTGCCTGCAGGCCTAGGTGCTTCATTTTATACACCTGTGGTAATGGGTCTGAATGAAACACCTTTAGTCAATGATTTAGAGGTGTGTCCCAGTGCTTTTGTCCATATAATGTAGTGTAGGTGCATTGGATGAAAAGAAAAAATTGCAAGGAAATGCATTGGAAGAAAAGAAAAAACTGCAAATGAGTACACAGAATACTTAATGCATTTCTTCAGTACTGTACACAGGAGCCTTAATTATGTTTGCGCAATTAGTACAAGATATCAAAATATCAGAAACGAAAGACAGCACTGTGAAACTGCACTGTGGCAAGCCATTGAAGAACTGCATTCAACTGCATGATCATTGGCTAAAGAGTATCGACAGTGCTAACTGACAGTAGCGACTGACTAAGTTCTGTCACACCTGTTTGTTAAGCTTTTCTGATAGTGTTGATTAATTATCAAAGCTGTGAACAAAACACAATGAAGTTGCAAGGATACAAGAAAAGGTGTCACTGTTGTTGGTATTATTAAAAATTTGACACTGGTAACTTTTAAAGGGTATTCTTGTTTCTTAAATAAAAAGTATGATCAGGGTTGTAGAGTAGTTGTTATAGAGTACAGAAGTGGTCTGAAGTCCTTTCTGTTGTCAGATATGAGGAATGTTGAGTGGCACTTAAAGTAATTTCATACACTTTTCAGTTTGCTTTATATCAGGATCAGTTGAACCCTGAAATAAACCAAAAAAATCCCCGAGTGCTTTTAGCCTTTGGCAAAATTCTGTACTCTATTCTTGGAAGAACTGGGATCAAGCTCAGGGTGAGGTTTTAGGCCTGGTAACCCAGCATACATAAAGCATTCCCTAAACTATTAGTTCTACAGCTTGCCAGAAACAAATGGTGGACAATAAGAATGATCCAGAAGTAAACAGAAAAAGACATGTAGGTCTTGTATATTTTGCCATTATTAATCTGCTAATCTTTGCTCTACTAATTTGATAGTGTAAGACAGCTTGGGTTTGGGGGCAGCATGTGGCTCAGTGGACTAAGCCTGTGTGCCTGTAATCAGAAGGTCATTAGTTCAAACCCAGCCTCTGCAGGTCCTTGAGCAAGGCCCCTAACCCCCAGCTCCCAGGACACTACTGCAGGTGGCTGCCCTTTACTCTACAAATAGCAAGCTGAGGGAGGCAAACAAACATTTTCCCCATGGGGACTGTAAAGTGTCTATTATTAAATGTTGCACAAGCTCTGGAAACTGGTATATGCTACTGTAGGTTTAGTTTGTGGAAATAATGTTTCCGCAGTCAACCTGGGGCTAGCCAATATGCCACAGTGTTGTGTGCCTCAGTATCTGAAACAAAAAAATCTAAAGAATTTACCTTAAGCCCATTTCTACGGAAGAGGATTAGGGCCACCATGAAAATATTATTTGAATTCTGACATTCTTTCTCAGAATTCTGACGTTAATCTCAGAATTCTGACTTTTTTTTCTAAACTCAGAATTCTGAAAATAAAGTCAGAATTCTGAGAAAAAAAGTAAGATTTCTGACATTAAAGACAGAATTCTGAGAAAAAAAGTCAGAATTCTGAGATTAAAGTCAGAATTCAAATAATATTTTCATGGTGCCCCTAATCCTCTTCCATACATTTACATGCAATGGCAAAGAAAGTTTTTACCATTTTTTCATGCTTAGTATTAGTGGTGTAATATGGTACAGAAAATGTATGGTTCGGTACAAACCTTGGTTTTAGGTTGACGGTTTGGTGCAATTTTGGTGCAGCAGAGAAACAGAATTTGTTCCGAGATTATTTATTAATAAAACCGCAACCACAATTAAGAAAAGTTATAAATTAAAATGTAAAGCATCCATCTACATATCTGAATAACAAGAGACACTTCTTGTAAAAAAAAAAATATGAGATGAATAACAAACGATGCATGTTGTAAAATTAAAAAATGAAAAATATAACATCATGACAATCAATGAACTAAATCCCATGTTCTGCACTACCGAGAATGATCTGTAGCTGAATTTGTGTAAATGCTTTACTCTGGTCATACACACACTTAGGACTTATAATTGACACTCTCAACACATACAGTATGCGTACGCATCATGGCTGCCACGCATTTTCTGCATTCATTCCATGCATCGTAGGTGCAACTATGCGAAGAGTTAACGCAACACATACTGTACGTGGTGCTCTACCACCAAAAATTGGGCTGGCAGTACGGTCACCTTTTGTCACGGGACTATGTGTTTGTATATGGTACTAGTATTAAAGTAATGTCTGATTTTTTAAGAATGAATGGCCGGAAGAACTGTATATTTTCAGAGGCAAGAGAGAAAATATTGCGAGCACTATTGTGTCCCCCTGTGTCCAAATTTAATGGCTGTTTCAGTTTCTAAGAAAGCAGTATCATGTGTACGAAGTACAATGAAACTCTACTTGCCTACTTTCATAAGCAACGTTATTTTTCAATATGGTTCCGGTATTTTTAAACCCTGGTTATAAAATTCGCCAAGAGCGTGGGGTTTATGCTTCGCGACAACATTTATATTGTTAAACAAACCTTAGCAAGCTTTGCAATTTTAATGACCGCTCCTTTCCAGGATTATCTGGTATATGTTTAACATTAAAGTTTAGCGCTGCTACTTTAGCATGAGCTCTGCATGCTTGTGCCCTTCCAGCCATTCTTCATCATTTTCATCCTTGCTGTTTAAATCACTCACGAATAAACATGTTTGTGGGATATAGCTTTAGTTTGAACTATTTTTTCTTTATAAAATAATGCGATACTTATTGCAGAAATTGATATTTTCCAGTGTCGTGCAGCCTAATTACGAAATACTAACTACTTTGAGATCTAACAACACACAATGCAACATTCACTCATGGATAGCAAATTGATATGTGGCAGAGCGAAGTATGATGTGGATCAGTGCTTAGAATGTAGAGAATATTGCCGCAGTATTTAAAAATTAACAACTTGATCACTGTGGAGGCTGCGAGTGTACATCATTTCATGTCACAACTTCATACAAAACAAGTGAGACTGGAAAGGAAGGAGCCGACCAAGATGTTTTTCTCACACTGCCCCCTGGTGGACATGACCTTTAATCCTCCAGATAGAGGTAAACTACGTGCGCAAGTACAGTCAGTACACTGGTTGCGTTGTGCTCAGGTCAGGTCAGGACAGGTTGGGGAGCAAGCACATTGTCACACCGACCACATGGTGAAACTCCTCGGGGTCCTGGTTGACGACCCCCAAGACAGACACACGGTCCAGTCCCACCCTCCGGAAGTGACCATCCATCTGCCGCCAGGCATTACGTGGGCGTCCCCTCGGCCTGGTCCAGTCCCTCAGGTCCTTAGCAATGAGGATCCTCACGTCGCCAGACATGAAGCATATCGCGGCCCTGAGATGATGTCGTCTCAAACTGGTCGCACGTTGAATGTGTTTTCAGTATCATAACTGAGTTCGGTATAACAGAGCTGACAGACAGTCTTGAGTTTATCAACTCTCTCTCCAGTGTTGGTGTAATCTATTGGGAGACCAGAATATTACCAAATCGTCGATTTACGAATGACTGTAACCAGGATTAGCCATAACAGACTCACAGACACAATTATCATCATGTTTTCCGTGTTGGACATCTATGTTTTAATTTAGGTTCAGTACAAGTCAAGAAATTTGTTTAGTATTTGTAAATGTAAAGCACTTTGAGACAATTTAATGTTGTGAAAATGTGCTACACAAATAAAATTGAAACTGAACTGAAACTGAATTGAATTTCATTGTGCGTACAGAACCCAAGTGTGTACCGACATACCAAGGATTCCTCCTGGGAGGAGACCTACACTCACCACTCTGTTTGAAATAACGCAGCTTAGCACCTACTTCATCAGTTTTTTTCATTTTTAAACTTGAATTACAGGAATTTAACCCCACTTTCCCCCTAAATGATTAAACAATGAATAATGATACCGGTTCCCCATTACGGTTAGTTTGCCCCCCAGAATCAGCTTTACACCATGTGTTACGTCAGACTTAACAAGCGGATTGAAAGTCCGGATAGCATTTAGTGAAAGTTGCCGTTTAGTTCAAATTTATAGCGTTCATTGAATCGTAATGATCAGATTATTTTTATGGCACTGAGTGAGCTTCAGTCAGTGCTGAAGGTGTGCAAGTCAGGACTCTGCACCTCTAATTGGAAGGTTGCTGGCTCAAATCATGTAGCTGGCAAAGTAAATTCACCATTGGGATCTTGAGAAAGAGCCCTTAAATCCAACCGGTCAAGGGGCTGGCTGACCCTGCGTTCTCATTTGTATGTCGCTTTGGATAAAAGTGTTTGCAAAACGAATGCAATATAATGGCTAACCATAAGGTTTTCCTATTTTAAAGGTATGACACTACTGTGTTAATAATAATACATTCAATTTCACTCAGGACACCAGATGGGAGCAGTGAATAGCTGCTGCTATTTCAGAAGAAACTGAAAACCATCTTCTCAGCTGAGAGCTTCCCTTCAGAAGCACGTATGAAAAGCTCAGGACAATAGGAGCTGCTTCAGCCTGGGGAGGGGGTGTCATCAAATTAGAGCACTCCTTTGAATCTCTTCAGTCTTCCGGGTCTTAAGCGTCACTGAGAAGGAAGGAAACCAAGTCAGAGCAGCCTTTTGGATCAGAGCCCTTCTGGAAGCTTCTGTCATGTGGAGGTCATCACCGGGAAGGAAAAGGACAGAATATTTTTTTTTTATGAGATATTTTTCTGGTCTGCATAATTTTCGGAATACATTGTGATACCTTTGCTAGGTGTAAAAGCAAGCTGCCGTTGGAGAGATTGTTATGGTTGTACCAGACAAAGGGGACAATTAGTGTGAAATAACATTTTACATCAGTCTGTCACCAGGGTGCTGCCTGATTATCAGTGTATACTTTTCTCAAAAGACATTAAATGCAATTCTGCATGTTATATGGTTCAGGCAGAGGCAGACTGCAAACTGGGTAGTCTCATAGTCAAGGCCTTTGCCTGGAATCCTGAAGGTTGCGTTAAATCCAAAAAATCTCCAATATAGGTATAAAATGGAAAAAAAAGTTACTGCAGAAGGGATGGAGAAAATGTATACATTTATCCAACCTTTTGAAATATATTTGTGGGACAGTGTCACAAAGCACTTCTGTCGTAAGATGGAGTGGCTCAGCGGCCCAGTGGATAGCACTGATGACACCCCCAAGGTTGGGGGTGAAATTTGTGTGATCTGCCCGTGTTGTGTGGGTTTCCTGCAAGGACTTCAGTTTCCTGGAAGAGACACATGGATTTAGGTGACTGTAAACCAACCTTAGTACTGTATGTGTGTGTGTGTGTGTGTGTGTGTGTGTGGGTTTGCATGAATGAGCGGTCCCCATAAGGATATGTTTACCCTACAAGTGCGTGTTTGTGTGTGTGTGTTTGTGGGAGGGGGGGATTTGCACAGATCACATTTGGGGAGCAAAATGTCCCCAAAGTGTGGTAAAACCTGAATCTTCCTTCCTTTTCGGGACATTTTTCAGGTCGCCATTTAGAAAACTTCAATTTTGTAAAAATATGTGAATCAAAAAAGTAAAAATGTCAGTGGTCTTGTATTTGTTTGGTTACTTAAGCTTAAGGGGTTAAGGGTGTCACGACTGGAATTAGGGTTTTTACAATAGAAATGAATGCAAGGTTCCCATTTAGATAGGTACGCCAACTTGTGTGTGTGTGTGTGTGTGTGTGTGTGTGTAAGAGAGAGAGAGAGGCAGACAGAGAAAGAGAGAGAGATTGTGTATGTGCCATGTGATGGACTGGCATCCTGTCCAGGGTGAACCACTGCCTTGCAATTTTGTCCTCGTGGCCTTGAGGAGCAGTAAACTCTAACTATTAAGCTAAACACACTCTGAGTCACCTGAACAGTATGTCTTAGTGTCATTGTAGACCATGAAGACTCCGCTTCCAGAGTCTGGGTGGGAATAGATTCTTATCCAGGCCCTGTTATGTGTAACTATGAAGCAAATAAGATTCTTTCCAAATGGTCCAGCAGAGAATGACTTCATGGGAAGTCTGTCATAGATACTGTAGATATGCATTGAGTAGTTGTACTCCGCCAAGCAGGTTAGAGCAGAGGGTGTAATGTGACAGCATGCCACATGCGAAGGCAGGGTCTCACGTTGCCCTCGCTTGCTCTCTCCGTTCCTCTTGGCCAGCGCCCAAGGGCAGCGATGGCCGCTTCCTGAGGCTCAGTGAGCGGAGCGGAGGGCAGCTGAAGTTTCAGGTCACAGTCTCCACATTGATTTTCTTGTCACAATAACAAATGTTGTCTTTTTGGCTCACGGCCGGCCTACCCTTAAGCGATTAAGGACACTCGTCTTTAGTTGTTAGAGGACTGGTGGAGTAACTTTTGGAGAAATGAGGACTGACTTTGAGTGGTTTGATTTCGGATGTCTTTGGTATTAAGAATGCAGTTGTTTATGTGCATTTTACGCTCGCAGTTTCGGCTCAGACCCCATGATTTCTGGTCATTTGTTTATGGGCAAATTAAATTAATTTCTTTTGGGTCTAACACATAGCCATATTAATGTTTTAAGTATTTTCTGGGATTTTAAAACATGATTGTGCTTTGTCATATGACAATATTAATCCTAGAATGACCATTTATATTCTTAATTGGAGATAACTTGTCATCTGGTTAGTACATTTTTTGTCATCTTTTACAGTGTCTTGGTGCCCTACATTCAGTAATTGCTATTCCACTTTGAGAATACAGAACAATTATGGAGAAGGATGGGGGGAGATTCCTCTGCGATGTTAGAAAAGGAGAAGAAACAAGTCAAGGTCAAAAGTACGAGGGCAGAAATAATACTACCACCACCCAACAAGCTCGTTCACATTCTGCCAACAAAAAGGCCTCAACGCTTTGTTGAAATCAGAGAATGTAAATAAAAAGGCAGGTGTTCTGAGCGGGAAATGGCGTGACTGTTTAAAGATTATCATTTTAAGTGTAAGACATGAATGTGACTGTTATGAAGAGCAGTCTGTGTTTTACCTGTATGGATTCTTCTTCAGCGGATGGCCCTTGCTTGGACAAAGACTCCATTTGCATCCCTGTCATTACAAGCTCTGCTGGCTTAGGGTGAGCTTTCTTGCTGCCGGATTTCAGTACCATCTGCCGGTCTTGACAGCTTCATGGAATAAGATTTTGGATTGATCTGGTGAATGATGGAAGATGCAGGTGAACTATCCACTAGGCCTTGGTGCTGTCATTCAGGTGGTGGTTTTATGTGTGATTCTCCTGTCTTCCCAACACCCTAGAAAGTGTTAACTTGAAATATTTCCATGGGGATAATGCAGTTTTTGCAGCTTTACTACTTTAACTTGACAAAAACTGACAATATCTACCTATTGTTTATCAAGTCTTTCAGAAGTAAGAGCTGATCCCAAATTCTCTTTGAGGAAACCATGCTGTGTGCAGTGGAATAAGCCATAAATATGTAACTCTGTATCTTTAAACTTAAAGAAATATGAAATTCATTCCAGCTAAAGCACCAAGCACATTTGAATATTTAAATTACAACATAGGTGCATTGTTGGTATATTTGTGCTGCTGATACCACAGCTCGTTGTGAGGCAGGTGAACAGTGGCCTTACCTCAGATATTGTGTTTGGTATGTGAACTGTGTTCACTGGTGCATTTTTATACCAATTCTGGAGCTCTTTACCAGTTTGTTATCTGTCCTCTTTTAAATTCAGATTGCAGTAGGTAACCAGGCAACAGCAGATAAGCAAAAACCTTATCTGGGTACGAAGGGGGAAAATATCATTTGTACCTAAGAATTAAATGGAGGATACCATCTGAAATTAGAAATTAATTTTCTCCTCAATTTTTACTTGAGTTTAGCTAATTGATTTGCTAATGGAAGCCAATCAAGGTTTTGAGTTAATGCATTTTTGTAAAATGCTTCCCAGCAATTCTAGAACAGTGACCCAGTGAAATAAAATATCACAATTTAAAACCTCTGATAATTGGTTTGCATGAGTCAATGATGTATTCCAGTTAGTAAAGTACTGTTGTTGGATGTATCTATAGTAGGGAATTCTGGGAAATCCAGAAGCATTTTCCCCCAAATAAACTACTACTCTTATTTATTCTTTCTGCTGATTTAAGCCATTTCCTCAGCTGCAGGTCGCTGGTGATTTGTCCTGTGTTGTACTTTATGACAGCAAGTTAGAGGCAGATTAACGGTAACCGGCATCAGGGACGTGGTTTGGTCTGTGTAAGACTTGTTGCCGTGGTGCAGGGACGGGGGAGGGGTGCATGCAGATGGGAGGAGGAGGGGCTATACTTAGGGACAGGAGTGCAGGGGGTGTGAAAAGAGCCACTGGGAAATGAAAGAACAAAAAACGTCGCTTTCTTGGTCAGCACACTGGAGAATAAACAATACAGGCCCACACTCTCCTGGTGTTATTCACCAATATGACTAATCTCACTCTTCTTTCTGTTTTTTAAAGCCTAATAAATCCATTGAAGTCTATACAAGTGTTGGAAATTCAGCCGTTTACTGAAAATAGTGGGTTATGGTGAACATGTCAGTACACATTAAGCACAGAGAAAAGCCACACAGAGCCAGACTTGATTTTGTGCACAGGGATCAAATCCGAGTAAAACCCACAGGACTGAAAAAGAAGACAAACAGCACTGTGCTTGTTTTCCAATTTTAAATAAAGAAAATGGTGGCGTTGCCTTTTATATCCCATGTAATTTTCTATATGGTGTTTTTAAGTAATTTTGTTGAAACTGATGGAGTCTGGTATGAATCCCTGTGTTTTTATTACATTATTGTAAAGTTTCAGCAGACAAGTATACAGAACAGAAAATTGTAAATTCTAAATCATTACTTGTCTATCCCATTCAACATTTTTAACAATTTATGAAATCCATCGGGGTCCAACTGTCCTGCCTTCTATACGTTATTTCCATCAGTTTGGATGAGTCAGTGTTCCATTTAGTATTCAAAGGTACAACAGCACAAGTCATTTATGGCTTTTTCTTAACTGCCAGTATGATTGAATATCCCCCATTACGTAGCAAGTCAGCACAGTGGCTAAGGGTAATTTCTCGAAGACATAGAGTAATTTAATGCGATGCATGTATTTCAGACTCTTTGGGGACAGATAACCTTCAGCTGTTATTGTTGGTGTCACAAAAAAATGAGCAAATAACACCTTAGCACTCGAAAATTGAAAAATCATGAGACGTAATTTTTGACATTTCACTGCCAGATTTTCAGTTGCTCAAAAAATGCGAAATGTCACAACTGATTGCCAGTTGGGAGCAAAAATAAATTACATATCCAAAGAATACATCAAATCTGAATAAATCAAAGCTGATGAATAAATAAAATAATGCAACAATTATTTGAATTAATGATTATAGTCAGGTGCACTCATATCCATTAGCGAAAGCATCCATTTTCCATAACCTCTTCATCTGGCACAGGGCTGATGTGAGTCTGGGACCTACCCGTAGAAGCAGAGGGTACAGGACAAGGGACACCCTTTGTGGAAGGCTGTTTGTCTAGCCAATGTGTTTTCCCTGATTGGTTGTAATATTTTAATTTATTTATTAGCCACACTACAATTATACATTTAATTTTATATACATGGACTATCAACCATTGAGGCCAGTCTGGAAGTCAAAGCTATTTAGGAACATTTAATGAATTGTGCAGTGACTAGGAAATCAATTCAACCATTGAAAATAAACAGTAATGAAAATTATAGACAAATACAGCAAATTATGCAAAAGGCTTTGATAATCCTGGTGTCAATTCGAAGAAGAAGAGGGTCTGTTAGTCTAAGGTGGAGACGTCCATCCCAGTCAGGACACAAACCAGCGATGGAGGTGGATGGAAGAGAGAGGGTGAAAACTTCAACTGCAGAAGTGTGGGTGTTCAGGAATAAGCCTGGTGGGATTTTCCATCAATGGAAAAAAGTTTTTTCAGCTGTCAGTGTTGGAAGAAATATTTGACCATTTTTCTTAGTTAAGTATCCCCAGTTTTGTCAAGCTGGGCCGAGATCATTGGTGGATCTGGCCGTACAACATTTCTCTAGATAAGTCCAGATTCTTCAAAATTCCTTTTCAGACAAGGCTTTTTACGTGCTGGATATGGGTTCCATGTTGCACCTATAGGCCAGATTTGTGCAGTATATTAACGCAAGAGGCAATTTTTCCAGTCACTGAACTCAGTGGGTCTTTCAGGTTTGCCGTTGGCTGCTCAGTGGTTTCTCTGACTAATGAGGCCACGAAGGTCTCCCCTTTGTTTTGGAGAAAGACCTGCCCTAAGCACATTACAGGTGCTACCATTCACTTCCTCATTAACTTCACTATGCTCTATTGGGTTCTTGGTCTCTTTGAAACCCTTTTGTACACCATGTGATGTGTGCTCTCCTGTAATGTGATGTTTTCAGAGCATCTCCAGCCCTCTGTTGTGGTTCTCTCTGCTTTGAATCCAGCAGGCAGCTGTGACACCTTTCAAGGACCAAGGCAGTGCAAGCTGAGGCCAGGTGATCTGCCCCCATTCAGCATCCTGTCTGATATCTGCAGGCAGCTGAAGGCACCCTGACCTTGCTAGAACTTTCAGGGCAAAGGGAGGTAAATATCATTCACATCTATGTCTGTGCAGGTGCTTGTTTGTCGAGTAATTCTTGCCTGACAATGAGAACTTGTCTTCTGGAAAGGTGTTACGAGTTTTTAGAGAAAATGTGACGCATTAATAAATCAAAATTTTGGACAAAACAGAAAGGTCCAGAGGGATGGACATTTCCAGGAGCTACGGTTTTTAGGGAGAGGCAATGTGTCCATCACGCTTTAAATATTTGCTTTGAGGAGTGCCTTTGTTCCCTGGTCTCCATTCACACATCCCAGTCAAACATAAGCAGCCCGCCACAAAGCACAAAGACATCGGCAGGTGCCATGACAGACAGAATCAATTTAGCCTAAATAAATAGAGTGTCCAGGGTCAATTATTCCTCTTCCCTCTGTCCTCCCGGGAGAAACTCTCATGTCTCTCATGTTCAATAAAGCAATTTGTACAGAGACGGAAGTGTACAAATGAACTATCATGCAGGTGCTCGTCTTTCACCATTTTCTTAATTGCAGACTGTATTTATGAATGCGAAGGAGTTACATAATTGGAGACGCAGGTAATGGGGGGGGGGGGGGAGGTGGTTGAAACTGTCAGTTACGTGATCTGAGTAAACAGGTCCATCACTAGATTGTAATAAACAATGCTCTACATTGTTGTGAAAACATATGCAGCCATTACAGGGGGGAGGGGTGAAAATCAAGAAAAATCCCACATATGGGTGGATTTTAAATTATATTTCTCCCTGAGGGAAACTGTTTCATTGTGTCTTGTTTTGGGGGAAGGATGACAGCTACACGCCTTTACAGCTGGAGTTCCTGCCCTCTAGGCAACTTAGATCAGCAGCGCTCCAGTTCACAATGCAGCCAGCATCTCCCAAGTGCTGCATCTGCACTGATCCAGAATCAGCACAATACTCCTGTCTCCCCTCCCCAGGAATCCCATAAGCTGCACAGCTGACACAATGAGCAGGTTGGGGGGAGGGGGTGGAGTATTGCAAAATCAACTCACTACGAATCCCAGCTCAAGGTCAGGGAGAGACATGATCAATTTAATATTCCTGTGATGGTTTTTGCTTAATAAGCTTTGGCCCCTGCTTAATTGGATCACGTTGGCAATAATCATTATTTGTCGGGAGGGGATAAGGCGCATTGATTTCAGATACTGTCCCAAAATGCCTGGGATGCTGGCAGGATGCAGTACTGCATGCATGATTCCCTCCAGCTGCAGGAAGCCACACACATACTGATGATGTCACAGCAGATTTATGGTCATGTGACTCGTGAGCTGTCGCCTGTTTAAAGAAAAACAGCTGGTCTTTACCTGCTGCATAATATTAAATGATACTTGCCTTTCACAGTCTGGTGGTTCTGTCTGGATTGTCGTGGAGATGAGCTGTGAAATTTTATCCTCTGATGCCAGCAGGAGACAAATCTGTGGTAATTTCTGTTGGAAGAGTTATGCCCTCTGAAATTCAATATTAGCCCTACCCATTCCCAGTCCGAAAGAGCCATGAAAAGGAAAATCCCATCCCAGAAAAATTCCACATCCTTATATAACACAGATCTATTTGACATCTGCGCAAGTCTTACAAACCCAATTTCCCATGAATCCATGGGACTATGAAAACTGCTGAGGTGACTTTGAGGGATAGTGTGAGATTACCTGCATACCTGCAGTGATTCAGAAACAGGGAGATTAAACATGAGAGAGCCCATCTTTCAGTCAGAATGTTACTGCACATTGAATCCATATGTTATTCCCTTGACAATTACTGATTATCCAATTAGGATCAGACGGCTACCGGAGCCCATCCCTGAAGCTCAGCAAGCAGGATTGACTACATCCTGGACATGAAGCTGGTCACCATCACATAAGTCACCCAGAATTGCTGTCGACTGAGAGTGTTAGGTGTCTTCCCAGCTGTGAGCACGGAATGCCTGCGCTGACAGTGCGAGAGCCTGTTCTAAGGGGAGGCGTCTCTCCCATATTTCAGCACATGTGGATTGCGGGAGCTCTACAGCCGGAGTCGTAATTAGGCTTCTCCACATCCGCTCTGCAGCGTTTCCTCGGAGACACCCCGTCGTGTCTTTGAAGGCCATCTCTCCTCTGTCATTTCCTGTCATGCCCCAGAGCTCACCTGTGCTCACCTACTCAGGCGCAGTTTAACTGACGCGGAAAGATGAAGATTTTGAACCAAAAATCTACTGGATAATGTACATTGCTCATTTCCCAGACTGTTAGATAATGCAGTAATCTCACATTCTCGTATTATCTCTGTGCTCCCAAAGCACAGATGACTCAGCACATCTGTTTGATTTTGTAGTTTGAAAGTCTTGTGAATTTTTGCTTTATCTTGATTAACTGTGACTAATTAAGCAGAATGGTTAAGTGTAGAATCCGCCCTTCTTTTTCGCAATCTGGCTTTTGATATTAGTTGACTTCACAGCTTGTCACTCATGGGAACGAAATTATTTTTTAGCTGTTGATGTGCTATTATAGATCTGATGTCTTTTCCTTTATTTCGGGATGAGAGAGGAGGCTCATTGCTATCCCATACTCAACAACCCCTCCGTAGTAGGCCGCTTCCTGTTTTTGCCCATGGAGCAGCTGATTGGATCCCATAACAGCATGTCTGCAGATTGAATTGTGGCACTGGGATGCAATTCCGAAACTGCAAATGGGAACAGAACATTTTATCAGCGTAGCACAGAGTCACTGCCTGCTACAAGCTGGCATCCCAGTGAAAGGGTTGCAGTGAAACACGCAAGCCGCTTGCAAGACAAATCCTTTACTCTGGATCGCGGCCTCTTGATTGATTGAGGATGCAAGTCGGAGACAGAGATAATTCAGATTACGAAGTCGCTGTAAATTCACTGATGGCAAACCCCCTGCCTGCCTGCCTGACACACTGCATGCACGCATCCATCAAAATATGCAAATGTCTCAGAAGGTCAGAGGTGCCTGTGGGATTGCTGAGGCCGGGCTGCATGTGTAGCATCTGCCAAGACAAGAGAAACTGGGATTTCGTACCATCAGCAAGACACTCTCAGTGATGAAGAACAGCGACCCTCTGTCAGATGTCCTTTAATCTTCAAACTCACTAAACTCATAAAAAGACTGCATTACCATTTTACTTTTTTAATCTCATAGAGGTTGCTCCCTACATAGGCTTCCCATGTTAGATTTAAATGCCCCCATTCTGCAAATTCACAGCTATCCCTCTGGGCAGCAATGCTGGATTGGGACCGAGCAGCCCCCCCCNCCAGTCCTCCACCTTCCACTCATCCCTGGCTCCTCTGTGATGCAATGAGCTCCCAGCCCTCGAATTCGCTTCCCATCTCAGGACGCAAATTGAAGACACATCTCTTCAGAAACACTGCTGGTCTTCCTGAACCCAGACCTGCCTTTCAGCTTCCACAGGCGCCTCACGGCACAGGAATCACTGGTGCTTATCCTGAATTATCCCGAATCACGCCTCTAGTTTCAAATGTCACCAACTTGGAAAAGCCCTCAGTACTCTTGTACATGTGTAATGGTATTGCATGCGATTCTATTTTCTCTGTGCTGTCTATAATTATTGTTCATATCCATTAGCTTCCACATCTCACTTTAAGGAAACTAATTCTGTTAATTTATGTTACAGTCCTTTGTGTTTAGTTCAATTGTTGCACTTTTTCCGACACTGATTAAAAATAAACACGTGAAAAATTCTAGTTTTAGATGTTAGTAGCTTTTTTGTAATTATGTCTAGTTCTTAAACCGTTGTAGACAAAGCCATTGTTAAGATCTCGTTTCATTTTAATTATCTCCAAATTCTCATATTGAGTGATAATGTCTGCGCAGATAATTATCTAATTGTATTCAGACATGAAAAGGAAGGTAATCCTTCTTGGATTCTGAAAAGATCTTTTGCTTAATTTCACATAATTGGCTATCTCCGTGTAAAATGCTGGAAAAGGCCTGCATACCCAGCTTTGCAGGCAAAAAGACTCGTTGCCACCAATAAGCCCCTAGTTTGCTGTCCAGTTTCCCCACTAGTGTGATGAGCTCGCTGCTAAGAGGGTTTCTCTCTGCATGCAACCCTGACGGTACATCAATGCTTAAATAAATACATTTAACCTGCTCTGATGTGGAGTTCTGACGTATTGTTACATCTCCGTTGCATCATTACCTAATCCATTAAACCCGGCCATTATCATTTGTAATTAATGCCGCTCATATTGTGAGGAACAGCAGAGCACTGAGGTACTTTCCAAGCGAGCCCAGTGTGCTTAGTCCTTGTACAGAAACAGCAGGTGGTCAGTCATGAGGCTTTGAATGGACTCCGGGATGAGTGTCATGGAGGTTAAGGAGGCGTGCGAGTGATGGAGAGGGAGGAGGCCCTAATTTAGCTGGAAAAGAGACAGAGATACAGAGCTGAAACCTGCATGTTCGCATTCGAATCTTCAGGCAAGCTGGTAGATATGAGTGCAATGAAAGGGAATAAATCCTGTGTGCGGACTGGTTCTGTTTCAGAAAAGGGATGAAATTTGTGTTTGCAGCCCGTTAATGGCAATTAAACGGGGCTCCGTGTCATCACCAGAACCACAGCTGTGCGCCTGTGTACTTCCGCAGGGGCGATAGGACATGCCAGCCGTTCTGTGCGTCTCACACGTATCTCGCCACCTTCTGGCCAAGCCCGAGCGCTCCGCCTGCCTGCCTGCCAAACGCGTGATGCCTACCGCAGCTCCTAGCCGGTAAAATACGCACAGCTAATCAGGGAGGCTGGAGTCGGCTCGCTCCGCCCGCAGAACCATTAGCCCTCTGGATGAGAGTGGGATTAAAAAAATCACTGAGCTCGATTTTAAAGTGCTTTTCACATTTAGCTTGTGGTGGCAACAGCATCCATGGAAAATTCATGAAAACATTTACAGTATTCATGATCAGATATTAAAATTGCCGAAATTATTCATCAATGCATATTAAAACTGATTCATGGGCATATATAAATGCATAATTATGAGTGTGTATACATATAATGTGGCAAGATCTTACTGAGATATGTAATTTAAACCAGCCCTCATTTTTTGATATTGTGAAATTTCTTATTCCTTAGCCTGATTTTAAGATAAGACTATAGCTCATAACCTTCTGTTCATGTAGGATAAGAACAGCTCATATTATCAGCGCTTGAGGTTGATGGAAAGTGACCAGCGGTTTGACAGGAATCCTGACGCACTGGACTGATCTGATGCTCTGAGATAGAATCGGGTTTGGGAGCCGTGGGCAGGTTGGTGCAGAGACAGGACAGGGAGCGGAGCTTACTCAGTGGGGGGGGGGAAGGGGGGCATTGTGTCCCACTCACACTCTGGCCACTCCTCACAATCAGGACACTCCTCCTCCTCCTTTTATTATGCTGATATTGCTAGCAGGGTGTGCCTTTGTGACACGAGTGGGGGAGCATGACAGTGAGAGAGTGAAAGAGAGAGAGAGAGAGAGAGAGATGGGGGGAGGGTGACTCCTTAGATCCAGCCCTGCTTCCGACGTCACTGCCTGGAAGAGACAAAACAAGCCATCTCCAGCCGGCCTCCCACTCGCACACGCCTGCACCTACCAGCGTGTAGGGCACGCCAGCCAAGAGCCTCACGCACACGCCGCTCACATTCCCCCCGGAGCCTGTTCGCTCTGTCCAGCAGGGTCTCCCTCTCTGCGCTCACCTGGCCGGCAGGAGGGGGGTGGAGGAGGAAGGGGAGGACGGCGGCAAATCGCAAGGGAGGAGCGCAAATGGCAGCTGACAATATGGGAAGAGCAGGCGTGTGAGAGCCACACCTGTCCGCGCTGAAGAGCTTTTCAGGACCCGGACAGCTCCCCGGCACGAGAGTGCGCGTGCGTGCGTGTGCGCGCGCGTGTGTGCGGCAGCAGTTTGCAGAAGAAAGGAGAAGCCGTGGGGGAGCCGAGCGGAGCCCCCGCCATGGCCGGCGTGCAGCAGGGCGAGAAACTGCTCTTTGAAAAGTTCTGGAGAGGTACCTTCAAAGCCGTGGCCAGCCCGAGACCCGAGAGCATCATCGTCACCAGCATCACGGCGTGCCGGAGGCCAGTGACACAGTGAGTTTGTCTCGCATGCCGCCCCCCACTCCGTGCGTCTCGCCCCCGGGTCCCACCACCGTCCCACAGCCCTGACGCCCCGTCTCCACAGACAGGCCAAACGCGAGCGAAGCTGGACGACACGTAGCTTCCTCCTGTTCACACTCAGCCGTTCATTGGTTTGCTTTCTCTCTTCACGACTGACAAACATCATGTAGATTGCAGCCCAGCGACCTGTAAGAGTGCATGCGTGACCATGGTCTGCCTCTTTCCTACAATTTGTATCTTTTCCTTTAGTTTTTAAACAGATGCTTCTTAACGAGATACTTTTCACTTCTGGTACTTTTGCACTTTCATATACACATATTTTCCGGGTGCATCTCTGCTTAAGTACTGCGCGTAAAAACGGCAGATGTCGCCTCGACTGCAAGCAGATTAGATGAATGAAAAAACAGACCGCAGCTGAGAGACTGGCCGTGAGGGAGCCGGGTGAAGCACTGGGGGGAGTCACGGCTTCCCGAATCACCCCTGCAGCTCCCCGGCCCGCTGCTGTCAGCTCAGAAGTCGCCTTACGCCTGTTGCTGTCAGTGTGCTAGCGCTATGACCTGCCTGTCTGTGCTCCCTTTCTGTTTCCCAGCTGCTCATTGCTCACCTCTGCGCCTTATCGGGGCTCTTACTGCATTTGCGATGGATGGCGAATCCCAGCTATATCTTCCTGCGTTCGGGTCTCCGGCAGGTGGTTTTACAGGTATCGGTAAATGGCTACAAACTCATAGATACGGCTTAAACTCGCACAGCGAAAAACACTCAAACCATAGCACTCTTTTTTGATAAGGGAGTCAGAATCAGACCCCCTACGCATCGTCAAAAAAAAGACACTGTATCTGGAAGATACTACCAAGGTTGTGTTTTTCTGACAATCGTGATAAAAATGAGCAAATCGATTTAAAATGTACATCAAATGAAATAGTTCAGTTCAGCAGGACTGTAGCGGGGTTAAGGTTGAAAAACTATGTGAAACAAATTTCAATGCCTGAGAAATGGTCTAATTACGGAAAGGGCTTTGCGCATAGAAACCTGTATCAGTAAATAAGTAAATGGAAAGAAAGAAGAAATCCACTATTTTCATAGTGCAGTGAATTAGCAGCTCTGACTGTTAGGATTTTTTTTAACGGACTTGTTTTCAAAATGTCCCAGAGAAATATTTCTTCGCCGTATTCAGCATATTTCATACGCTGTTCTGCCTCGAGGGACGTGATGACATTGACGGGGGCACGAAGTACACAGGAGCCACAGTGCGTTTGCTGGGCACCCGCGCAATCCACTAGGCATCCGCCAGCAAGGGGAAGGGGACAGGCTGCCCCCCCCGTGGACGTGATAGGCAGCGGCAGACAAAACAGGGACAAAGAGCCCCCCCGCTGCCTGTCCCCGCGTCTGTGTGCAGTGTCACTGCTCAACCAATAACGCCACCACAGCGACGTAAAATCCGCTGGGACTGTAAGGAGCAGCTCTGTAAGAGACTCCTTATTGTCGCCCCCCCTGGCTTCGTAGGAGCCTTCTGCCCACAGCAGGGTAATTAGAGACACCCCCCCCCCCACCACCCCTACATCCCCCTGTCCGTGAGTAAAGAGAATAAGGGCGAGTCCTGCTGCTGGAGGGCCTCAATGCAGACTATTATATACCCTGCAAGCTGTTCCCTTCCACAGCGTGCCTCATTAAAAATGCTGGCGGTTTTTGGGGGTGGGGGGTGTAGTGGGGGCAGGGGGATTTGAACAGAAATGAAGCAGATGGTAAGCAGAGAAGTATGTGTGGAAAGGGGCATGGTAGAGGATGTATGGAAAGGCGGGGGGGGGGCTCCTGAACGTGGCCGTAGCCCAGCAGATGCTGCCTAACAAGGAGGAGAGTAAAAGGATTAGGGCCATAGCATCAAAGGCAGCCCAGATTACACACTCACAGAGATGGATACCGTGCATGGAAGTAGGTCACCCGTGTCTGCCTGTTGTAGAGGAGGAGAAGCTTGCTGGCGGCCTCGGGACCGATAAGAGGCTGGCGGCCTCGGGACCGATCAGAGGCTGGCGGCCTCGGGACCGATCAGAGGCTGGCGGCCTCGGGACCGATCAGAGGCTGGCGGCCTCGGGACCGATCAGAGGCTGGCGGCCTCCGGACCGATAAGAGGCTGGCGGCCTCGGGACCGATCAGAGACTGGCGGCCTCGGGACCGATAAGAGGCTGGCGACCTCGGGACCGATCAGAGTCGATTTGATGCGTTTCTGTGATTTGGTGTATGATGTCCTGTTTCACACACAGCGACCTGGGTCAGTCCCATCAGTCCCAAGATCTAGGCGTGCTCTTTGGTTTATTTCTTCCCTAACACGCCCTGGATCAGTCCTAGTTTGATTCTGTGTTTTCTTACGCCAAAATGCCTCTTTATTTTCTCCATTTGGGTTGCTCCCTTACCAGACTATGAGCTTCTCATAATCCTGAAGCCTTCTGATGTGTATTCGGGGAGGCATGTCATCCCACGTCACACTTCACTGCTGTGAGTACCCGACGAGCACCTGACCTCTGCCCCTGGAGCATCACTGGCCACAGAGGACAAAAAACCCCAACCCATTTTTAATCAATCGTTGCCGCTGTGTTGTTGACAACCACAACTGATTGCTTACTTTCAGAATGTTTTTTTACCCGGATCACAAAGACAGTCCACCTGACCGCACATTGCATGCTGTCTGGTAACACAGCTGTTTAAATAAAAGCGATAAGATGAACGCCCTTCATTCCTAATTTATTTGCTCCAGGTGATTCTGGTCCACCCACCACGCTCTTATAAAGCTGCAATATGAAAGCTGACACATGGTCGTTATATAAGGTATGAAAATATGTATTGGGGGAAAACAACATTTAGCCTTTTATTCTACACCCCGGCACTGCAATTATCTTTTCATCACCCGAATCAAGCAAGAATGCGTAATTTTACTTTGTATCTTTGTGAAAGCTATGAATTCATGTTTGTGAACATGAAGGACATCATTTGGCTGGCTCGACACCCTAACTGTGAACGCAAATGGAACTTTGCTGCAGGAGGCTGGCCACGCGAACCAGTGAGCTGAATGAGTGCTCCCGAGAGTTCTCCTGTAATGCCGGGGGGTGGGGTGGGGGGGGAGAGGCTGTTTGCGGCTGAGCTGTGCTCTGCTCTGCCCTTTAAAAGCCCCTTTCTTCTCACGATGCTTCGACAGAGTGTCCGCCACAGTGCCGTGAGGCTGATCTCATCCTGGCCCTGGGAGAGGGGGGCGGGGGGGTCCCACAGAATGGGCCGCATGCACCCCCTGGTGCCCTCACTGCACAGGTTCAGACGATACTGTGTACTGCTTTCGAAAAATCATCTTCTCTTAATTAGAGGCAAAAGTAGTTTTAGGTGTAACCACAGACGTTAGTTATGAATATTATCAAATATAATGCATCCAATACTTAATGAGCTATGTAGAATGTGGGCACATACAATCAGAGAATTATAAATTTAGTAAATCGATAAAGCTTTGTTGTTCTTTTTTAAGAAGTTAATCTTATCCAGAAAGAGGTCGCTGTGTGTGCGGGTTTTTGCTGCAACTAAAAAATTACGTAGGTTACTAATTAGAGGACTGATTGGCTGAAGAGTTTTTTCTATAATGTTAGTGCCCGGGGGGGATTGGGCTGTCTTGGACCCCCAGAGATTTTTTTTCTGCCTACTTCGGAGTTTATGGTCCCACTCCTCCACTGTCATCTAGCTTTCTTTCTTTCATTTATTTGTCCTCCCTCTTCCCTGCTTTTTGTACTATTCTGTCTTAATGATGTTGTGATGTATGCAACACACCCATGTAAAATGCTTTAGGGCGACTCTCTTGTGAAAGGCGCTATGTAAAAATAACTTGAACTGAATAGTTTTCACACCTGGGTTTGAACAGCTGACCAAAAGGTTACCCCAAAAACCTGCATACACACCGGCCCTTTGCAAATAAGATTGGCCACCCCTGCCTTACTGTTTTAGGTACCGTCCCTGTGTCTCGGGGTGTGGTGGTGAATGAGGGCTGCTCGGAGGAGTGTCATGTTGACGGTTCAGTGGGTTACTTGGCATCTAGCTGACAGTATGGTCATTGGTCACATTGGTTACCGCCCTTTGCCATTTTAGGCCGGGTGCATAAACAAAATAGATTAAGTTCTGGTGGTTGAATTAGTGCACAATTTAGTGTTCAATACAAGTATGTTAAAATTAAGAAGGAAGCCACCCATCCTCTAACCGCTCGCTCCTGGACAGTGTAACCTGGAGGCTATTGTAGATACACCCAGAATGGGATGTCAGTCCATCATAGAGCATGTACACACTCATAATCAACCACCATGCAAACGCCAGGCAGACAGATGGGGCAGGATCCAAAAACCCAGTGCTGGAGGTGTGATGTCTCTCTTTAGAAAGCCCCATGTCTTTTTGATAAATTTGTCTAGTGTAAAATATGTTGTGTTTGCCTATGTATGCAAGTCATGCTGAGAATCATAGAGTAATAAAGTAAATTTATTTGTCATCGTTATGACACGGTTACAAATGCAGAATACTAATCTAGGCTTTTTTGATCACCAGGCTTTTATAAAACAGACAGACACTAGTCGATGTGCTTATTCTTTTTCCTGAAATAAAGCAGAGTGTGGCATTGGTTAATACAAAGTAACGCGAATGACATTATGTTTCAAATGCCACCGTCAGGGCCATGTCATTTTCACCGAGTCCCTTAAAAGCCTCTGTGCTTTCACAGTATATCCTTAGCAGAGCAGCATGAAAGCCCTTATTAGTACTGCCATTTGTTTTTTCTTCTTTTGCTTTCCATCCCTGATGTTGATTGCTAATTAAGATCTTATCTCTGGGTTTGTTTCCGGTCGTTGATGTGAAATTGTTTCCTCGCTGATGCAAGTCTTTCTTCTGTGAACTTCTGAGAGTTGAAAATGTCTGGTTTTCGAGTGAACGCCCCACCAGTGGTTTCGGAGAGTGCCACA